TTATTATAACTCACTTGATCAATTTGAACAAGAATTTTATTGCCGCGACATCACACGTTCCAAAACATATATTCAATATCAATAAATAGCATAATTAAAAAAAATCTTTCTGACTACATATATTACGTCTTAGTATTTGCCTAAATATAAGAAAATTGCGTCCTTAAGATGACAATTTGAAATTGTCGAAAGTACTTGTCATGTGTCTTGTAACTCGAATATAATGATCTTATTATTCAAGGATTTGGTGGTAAGTTAATGTCGCATTAAGTTTTGTTAGCGAAGTGATGTCGCCATTAATTAAATTAACATTTGTATTTAATTATTTGTATACATATATATATAATATATATAAATTTAATAAATTTATTTTTAATCGGACATTTTATTAATTCAATCTTTATCATAGTTGAAATTGATTTGATATGCACGACCCAATGTAATTTATTAAATAGTGTGTAGCATGACTATCGGCCTGTGCATTTGTGAAATGAAAAAAGAAATGATAAAAATTGTACCCTCGGCAAGGATCGAACAGGCCACCCCATTTGATGGTACGATTCTTGCCGGCTGACACATTTTCTTTACTAATACTTGTCGAATACGCAGACGGGTAGATGTAATAATATTCACTGTTTAATAAATAAATAAATATGGCACATTCATTTCAAATAAATAGTGTGTAATATAATAACGTTTCACACACACACACGCACACACACACACACACACACACACACACAACTATATATATATATATATATATATATATATACCCATACTGATATAGATATTGCTTGCGTAACTTGTGGTTAAAACATTCTAAGTCCCAGTGTTCTTTGATGCTTCCGAAACAATGGCGTACAAAAAATCGGTCATGGAATCATTGCCATTTCATAGAATAAATGAGATTTAATGTTTCCGTTTGCTTTGTGATCAGGTACTACATCGATCTGGATTTTATTAGATTTTTATGCTTTTATCATTCCTTCAGTTATTGTCTCCCATTCTGGGGGAATATTACATAACGACCGGAGCATTTACGTTCGTCTTTGGCAATCGGCTTTCATGGAAACAAAAGAGCGAGCAACGTTATTGCTACTACTGCTAGTATTCTAGAGAAAAGTAAATATCTTTATTTTGAAAGCTCTCGTTTAAAGGATGACCAGATAGGTTTAAGACCAATAATTCCGAAAAAAGACAAAAAATAAAAAAAAGAATGTAAATGTTTAGCTGATTTATTTTTTAACAACTTACCAGCCTTTTGAAGGATATTTAAAGCCAGAAAATACTTTTTGATAGTAAGAATATATTGGAGATAATAATTTACTGATCCAGTTCTTACTAATTTACACATAGCTAAGAGGAGAAGAGGTGGATTAATATCTTTCCCAAGGGTTTTTGGCGCGTAAGTGAATATAACAAAGCGGGCTGGCATTGGAACTAGGCTTCCGAACCATTATCTGTAGCAATATGAGTCAAACTGAGTTCTTGTTAAATTTAAAACAACTCGATACGTAATCATTTACTTTCGACCGATGGCTATCAGTAACTGGGGTCAACTTCAAATTACAAGATCAAGAGACTCACACTGAGAGAGAATGACGAAAGGAAGATTATTACTTTTAGGCGAAGATGACAGGACAAAGAAACCAGTTGCTTATAAAACTAACCATCCCGCGCAAAGGCAAGCAGAAAGAACGAAGTGGCTTCAAAGAAGGACATAGACGACGGTCGCTGAACTGCGTCTCTCCTTATCACCTACATCTCAACCCTACTTCGCTCGCTTACAGCAGTAAGTTACTACCTAAGAATAAAATCTGGTTTACTGCTAGAAATTGTTTTGTTCTTCACTCGTGTGTAACGATATGGCCGAAGGGTAATTTTTAAGCCACAAGCGTTTGATTTGAAGTGACTGCACCCTGTCAACAAAAATGGTGTCTGGTCTAAACTGCTACGCAGCATATCCATTACACTATGCGCACACCCAAGCTAACTGTATCTGGTATTTCCAATAAATCCTATTTACCTTGTAAAATGCGTTTGTCCAAGAACAATAATGGAAAAATATTGGACGGAAACGTATTGGTTAAGAGAGACAACAACAGAACAAGATACAGGATGTCAAAAATTAAACATCCTTCTAAAACGTGCCGCCACTGTTTTAGGTTCTTAAATAATTTATGGTTGTCAGCACAGGGGCAACACAACATGCAATTTATTAATTGGAGACAACAGCATGAAGCAATACAAAACAAAAAAAAAGTAAGAAAAAAGCGACAGAAACAAAGAAAAGTGTACTGAACTGTTATGTAATTTCGGTCCTTCTACGTGGCAGTGAATGTTTGGACAATCTGATTACAGATAAAGAAAAAGTCTAAATCCAAAGTACAAGTGCGTTTATACAGTTCAGTTTTCCTGGCCATGGTAGCTGTTTTTAGAGTTCTCTGTTGGCGTTCAGTTATTTCACTTGTTTGGGGGTGGCATGAGGTTGTAAGGAGCCTGTGGAATCCTATAATGGTGGATAAGTCTTTGAATAGTATGCTTTTGAACTGGCTATCTCTGTATGTGATGACATGAAGCGGTAATCCAAAGCGAGATATCCAAGTGTTTAGGAATTCTATGGCTTCTGTACTTGCTGAGGTGTCCTGAAGAGGGGTAGTTTATATACATCTTGTTGTTCTATCGATGCAGGTAATGTATTTTGCTGGTGATGGGTAGATACCGTCATGTGCGATTGCTGGTGGCAACGGCCCGATGATGTCGATATGAACTGTTTCAAATCGTCCAGATGGTAGCGAAAAGGGTGATGTTTGGTTTTTAATGTTTTAATAACTTTATTTTGTTGACAGTCTTGGCAGCTTCTGACCATATTCGGCAAATTGTATCTTGACTTTATCAGCTTTGCTGTTGGATTAGGACCATGATGTGAAATGTTGTGAAATATATCGAAGATATATTTACGAAGAGATTCTGGAATGAATGGTGTTGGTGTGTACGTTGTTGTATCACAGGAGACTGTTGAATCTTCATAGTTATTTGACTTGAGGTTATCCTTGTATTTAGAAATCTCTTCATCTTTTTCTTGTTGTGCTATTATAGCAGGTAGGTACAAGGGTCAATTGTGACTGATAAATCTGGCCGTGAAAGGCAATCAGCAACTATATTGTCTACTTTGATGTATATCACATTTGTGATATATTCGGCAATAATTAAAAGATGTCTTTGTTGTCTGTCTGAATTTAGGGGTGTAAGTTTTTAAATGCTAATTTTAAGGTTTCGTGATCAGAAAACAATGTTACCTACCTTCTATTTCTTGTCTGAAGTGTAGTTAGTACGGCTTGATAAGGTGCTATTAGTTCATGATCAAGTGTTGAGTATCTTTTTGTGTGTCCATCAGTTTTTTGAGTGGAAGTCTATCTGGATCAGTGTGTCTTCCACAATCTGATATTGTGCTGCTCCTGGTGCATAGCTATTAGGTTGGTGCAAAAATAATGTCGTTTTTTGACGTTCAACTTAACGTCAAAAACGACATTATTTTTGCATCAACCTAATAGAACTATCAGTTACGACATGATGTTGAGTGGCTTTGCGGTTGGGGTTGTTAATGATGTAATTTCAGCTAGAATTTTGTTAATGTTCTCAAATGCTTCTCTTTGTGTGGAGTTCATCTGCAGTTACTTTGCAGCTTCGCGGCATCTGATGAGTTCTGTTAGGGGTAGTAATATTTCAGTTGCTTTTGAAATTAGTTTTCTGTAAAAATTAACTAATCCCAAAAAATCTGCAGAAGGATTTAGAGACGTTTGGTTCTGAGAAGACGTGAATTTGTTGATATTTTTTTAGTTCCTTTCGTTTATGTTATCTTTAAAGAACACACGTTTATCCAAGATTTTCTACAAGGATTGACAGAACTGTCTTCAGATGTTCATGATGTTGAGTCTTTGTTTCTGAGGATACTAAAATGTCATCTATATAGACAAAGATATAGTCTATGTCTATGAAGATATCCACGATATGTTGGAAAGTAACACTACTGTGACGTAGGCCGAAAGGCATGAATAAATATTTAAACAGACAAAAAGGTGGAGTGGGGCGGATTTTTCTATGTCCTCGTCGCTCATGGGTATCTTAGAGAATACATGTTTGTTATGGAGTTTGGACACTAAGGTGTTGATATTATCAGTTTATTTAAGAGGTTTAAGTGTCTATAATGACCACAATGTCTGTATTGACCTAGTGTTGAATTGGGTGTGGTGTAGTGGTGATGCCCTTGATGATTTTGAGTGTCTGATTATGCCAGTGGTCATAAGTGAATTATTGTTTTGCAATTTTGTATTTTTCTTCTGGTAACTAGCATACGTTAGTAGAAGTTGGTTTACTATTACCAGTGTCAATAGTATTTCTGATTCTTGTTGTAGATGTATTGGGTCTTTTCTCTGCGTGACATGATTAGGGTAGGGTGTTTGTTTAGTAGTGAGGGAACTGGCTTTGGTGGCAGAGAAAAGTCATTAACAGTGATCTGTTGAGTAGTTGCTGTGACATTCGTGTTTTGTAGTGCTCAGTTTTGTTGCATGCAATTTTCCTGTTCTGCAGTCTAGAATTAGAGTGTAATGTCTGGGGAAGTTTGCTTCTAGTAATGGATTGAGGGAGTCTGCTCTTAGTAATGGACTGAGAGAGTTTGCCCTAGTAATGGATTAAGTGAGTCTTCTTCTAGTAATGGATTGAGAGTGTCTTCTAGTAAGGGATTCAGGGAGTCTGCTCTTAGTAATAATTGAGAGAGTCTGCTCTTAGTAATGGACTGAGAGTGTCTGTCCTGGTAATGGATTGGGGAGTCTTCTTCTAGTAAGGGATTGACGGAGTCTGCTCCTAGTAATGGACTGAGCGAGTCAGCCCTAGTAATGGATTAAGGGAGTCTTCTCTTAGTAATGGATTGAGGAAGTGTGCTTTTAGTAATGGATTGAGGGAATCTACTCCTAGTAATATATCGAGGGAGTCAGCTCTTAGTAATGGACTGAGAGTGTCTGCTCTAGTAATGGATTAAGGGAGTCTTCTCCTAGTAATGGATTAAGGGAGTCTTCTAGTAAGGGATTGAGGGAGTCTTCTCTTAGTAATGGAATAAGGGAGTCTACTCCTAGTAATGGATTAAGGGAGTCTTCTCCTAGTAATGGATTAAGGGAGTCTTCTAGTAAGGGATTGAGGGAGTCTTCTCTTAGTAATGGAATAAGGGAGTCTACTCCTAGTAATGGATTAAGGGAGTCTTCTTCTAGTAATGAATTAAGGGAGTCTTCTAGTAAGGGATTGAGGGAGTCTTCTCTTAGTAACGGAATAAGGGAGTCTACTCCTAGTAATGGATTAAGGGAGTCTTCTAGTAAGGGATTGAGGGAGTCTTCTCTTAGTAATGGTTTGAGAGAGTCTGCCCTAGTAATGGATTGTGGGAGTCTGCTCCTAGTAATGAATTGAGACAGTCTGCTCCTAGGAATGGATTGAGGGTATCTTATACGACTATAGTCCATGTGAATAAGCCTATCAAACCAGCAATTCCTGACGTTTCACCGTGACACGGAATCTTATCGCCTGTGGCCGACGATAAACGAACAGGAATAGGGTTATGATGTACTCCTCGAGCTAATATTGTATGAAGTATAGTTACAGAGGTTCCATTATCAATAAGAGGGTAAACTTGAGATATTCACTAACCGCCACACGCGGTCGAATGCGGCACAAGGCCAAGTTTATCGTGGTGTATCCGAGCTCGTAGGCTCGGCCAAAACTTCCCCGTAGACCCAGTATAAAACGGAGTCAGGTAACTGTCGCTTGAGACGGGACTCTGCCCTTCGACATAGACTCATCTGGGGATCCTCTCTGCCCGAAGGCAGAGAATTTGTCCAGCACATTTCCGAAATAATCTGGAGATTGAGCAAAAGATAGTCAACTTGAGACTAGCCTATTTTAGTGACAACCTTGAAAAACTGCGAATTACTGGTTACTCGCGCTAGTAGTTTTCCGACAGCTGTTCGTCTTTGGCTTCTTGTGGAATATGTCTAATGGGGGAAGACGTTCTTGAACTCCGCTTTACTTTACATGAAGCTTTATTAGGCCATTTACACCATGGCTTGCATGTCCTTCACTTGGAAGCAAAGTAGATATGACCTTTACAGAGTAGGGGCTTTTGGTTTTTCCTAGAAGGGTTTGATTGAAAATATGGAGTATCGGTCAAAATAGAAGCAACTTTCATTCCCTGCGAAGTTACGGAACTTGTATTTTAAACAAAGTTTGTTTTTATAAACGGAAGTATTTCATCTGTCAATGTACAGAGCTCGGATAGTGAGATACTTTTAGCAAAAATCACAACTGGGGCAGTGTTTGGTAGTAACTCTTGTATAAAACGATGGAAGACAAGTTCATCGCCAACTCCTATTTTAGATACAGATGCCAGTTTTTTTGTATTTGAAATAAGGTTTGGGAATCGGCTTTTTCTCTCGTGTATCTGAATTACTGCCCCCTTGAGTACATCGCACTTCTTTGAACAGAGTGTAGACGTTTATAATTTTGATATGGTGTCTGGGTGTAAAAATGATAGTACGTAGTAAAATTTTGTTTCTGAGTTGGTAATTTTACTCAAAGGCAAATTGTGATTCACTTATTACAAAACAGCCATTAGAATCTGTTTGCATAAATTGGGGAATCTTAATAGAAAATGAAGCTAGTGTGCCGTCCTGTTGTTGTATATCGAGTGTGTATGCAAATAAATGAACGTGAATAAAAGAGAAATGCGTACTTATTTTTGCTCCTTCGCTTGTTTTCATTTTCTTTTTTTTTAACTAGGGAAAGCCTCAACAAATGATGTGGGGGTAACTTACATCATAGCAGCAAAACTTAGCCTCGTCCTCACGGAGATAAAAGCATACTTGATAGGAACTAAAACGTACCGAAATAAAAGGTAAGCATGACAAATTATATGGTAACTTCATACAATTCATTCATGTATTGTGCGTGTAATCTTTTAGGTTACAGTTGTTTCATGCTACATGTAATGAGAGAAAGAAGTTACTTCGTATTATTACCCGCTATATCATAGAGAGAAGTCGGACACGTGTTGCCCGTACGAAGGTTCGTGATGAAGAGATTGAATTTAACGCCTTTTGGCAGAATGTCCGTATTTTCGACAGAAACAGTTTTTGTTGCATGCATGGGGTATTTTTTTTTAATTATTTTTATTTAATTTATTATAAAAAGTGTTTAAATATTTTTTTATTTTATTGTATTTTATTTATAATGTTCATTTTATTAATTTATATTTTATTTTATTTTATTTATAATAATAATGTCCCTACAATCCTAATCAGAAAAACAGGTTTAAACCTCTACTTCTGTACAAAAGACCGGGGAGGAATGTGAGCGAGCCCATCTACTCCTGTTGGCAGAGGAAAGGAAGAATAAAATAAATAGTTAATGAATAAACTTTCAAAATTCAAGCGCAACGTTAGGAATGCAGACCTGAAGCTGACATTACAAGGAACCGGAAACAATGGTGTAAACCTCTACTCCTATTCAGAAGACCAGGAAAGAGTGTGAACCAGACGACAGGTAAACCTATCTACTCCTACTGGAAAGAGCAATAACAGCTACTGGATTTGAGAAACCTATTTTCCTAAAACAAATGTTTTAAGAGAAAGATTTTATAAATTTTAACCGACTAGCTGCTCGGTCAGTTAATGCAAAATATTTCCTCATAGGGAAACGCCCAATATTAACATTACCATTAGGTCAATGAATCTTGCTTTAATCAATAACCATTTCTTTTGTTAGTTTTCGTAGTTATTGTTATAGTAAAATAAACCGTATTGCACATACACGGAGTGGCAAAACAAATGGCTAGTCAAGATATTTCCATATCAATGCCTTCATATAGAAATGAGCATAACGATATCAGTTATGCTCTGATATCTGGAGAGTTAATCTGAATACCGGTTATGCTTGCCCATTGTAATATGACGTTGGTTATCGAAGTGTACGTGACATGGTTGTGTGGTCCAGACAGACGGAACATTTCCTTTATGAATCAGTAGGGACATTTGATAGCTCTCAATATACTGTGTCAGTTATGTACGTGTAAGACTGTCTTTTCTGCAAATATTTTCATGGCAATTTTCTTGGTACCGTGACTGAATGAATTTAAGCGTGTTACTAGATTGGCTGCTAGGTCTCACCGTTTTACTGATGAACTAGTTAGACACAACCGACACTTCTATTCAGTTTAGCAGTTTCTTTTCTGGCACTTATCGCTTGTGAAACACCGTTTCGATTTCTTGCTTCCCTTGATAACTTCTTTTTTTTTTATGTGCCATATCCTTTCAGGACGTAAGCGATCATGACTCTCCACCTCCCTCGATCCCTTGCAGCTCTCAACAAGTTCCTTCCTTTGCTTCCTCCCCCAGCCTACATTCTGTCTTCCACCTGCTCAAGCCCGCCAGATATGTCAGGCGCTACTTTCCCCTTGTCTCTCCTTCTTTTCGATCCGTGAGTATCATATTCTCCATGCCCTCCTTCCTCATTATGTGTCCTAGAAACTTTAGCTGCCTCTTTCTGATGTTAAGTATAAGCCTTCTTCTTGTTTGTAACCTCTATCAGACCTCATCGTTGCCACACATGGTCCATGATATCCTTAGCATCCTTCTGTAGAACCACATCTCCGTTGCCTCGAGTCTCTTCTTCATCCTTGAGGAAATCGTCCAACATTCGCTGCCGTAAAAGAGGACAGATGTCACGTAACAGCTCAGTATTATTTTCTTTGTTACCAAAGAAATCCTCCTGTCTCGCAATACTCTGTCCAGCTTTTGGAATTCGTCCTTGGCCATCCCAATAAGTTTACAGATCTCAGTGTCGCATTTACTGTCCCCTGTCAAGACGATTCAACTACGATCTTCAAAAATGCAAAGTCAATCGCCATCTTCTGATTTCCTGAACCCTGTTCCGTTACTGTCCTTTCTTCACTTCTCACCAAATTTTTCTTCTTCTCCTTCACTCAATACACAACATTCCAATTAAACCCCAAATAATGCATAGCTAAAAGAAGTTGCTAAATAGACAAACTATTTTTAAAATCGGCGAACCGGTTTCGAATTTCAGTCGAGTTCGCTACATTCACTTTTACGCGACTAGTCTCGAAAAAGGTATAGCCCATGAATTCTCCACCCACCTATGGGTTAAATATTAGGTTAGCCTAGCAATCAGTCTAGTGTTGCGTTCCATGTTACTTCTGACAGGGCACAACGCTATTTCATAGTCTGCGTCAACAAAACACGATTTTTTTAAATCGCTCTTAGTTAATTTATCGCATCGCTTGGGGTAAAATGATAAAAATGCAGATAGAAAAAAGAACGAATAAATGAATGAGAGATAAAAAGAAAGAAAAGAAGACAGCAACAGACAAGAAAAAAACTGAAGTGAAACGAAAGAAAGAAAGAAAAGTAAGAGAGAAAAGAAAGAAAGAAAGAAATAGAGAGAGAAAAGAGAAAGAAAGAATGAATGTATTAAAGAATTACGATATTTACTAAGCTTACTTTCGTTCGACACAATGACAAAACTGCAGAGCGCTTGATAAAGACTATCTCGAATTCAGTAACTTCCATGTGCCGTGCTTTTTAAGGACATTGGCAATCATGGCTCTCCGTAAACTCGGACATTCACTTCACTAGGTAGGCTATACGTTGTTCGATCTGTCCTGTGAGTATCAAGTATGAAAGAAAGACAGGAGTAAAGAAAGAATGAAATAAAGAAATAAAAGGATAAAAAAAAGAACACGTGAAAGAAAGAAAGAAAAAAGAAAGAAAGAAAAAAGAAAGAAAAAAAAAAGAGAAGAAACTCCTGCTTTTATTAACTAGTCACATTAAATGTTAGTATCTTTTAAAATATTTACAGAGTTTAAGTAAGAAGTTACCAATGCTTAACAAATGGAGAAGTCATTATGGTCTACCACAAATAGATTTTTTTGCAATGGAAATCGCATTATGTATTATTACACACACACACACACACATATATATATATATATAATGATATATTAATTCATTATGCCCATTATGACACCTGATTAATTACTATATTTGTTTTTAGTATTTGATATATACATACAATATATATAATGTTTAGAGTTACTGAATAATTTAATGCGTCTGTTTAATAAATCCTACACGTGATATATAACAAATTACAAATTTATCTACGTGTAGTACTAATAGTACTAATCGTAATGCAACTTGCCAAGGAGTCTATATGGTCTGGAAAAAGCTTAATGTGTGAGAACAGATGGAAAAAGACAGAAAAATAGATAGATGGAGAGAAAGATAGATAGATAGATAGATAGATAGATAGAGAGAGAGAGAGAGAGAGAGAGAGAGAGAGAAAAGAAAGCTTTCACTATTTGCAGATTCTCTATTTATGCCGATGATACAACTATTTACTCCAGTCTTAATCGTACGTCTGATAGGTTCGATACAGTCAAATTGGCAGCTGATCTCGAAGATGACCTTCAATCTGTTGTTAACTGAGGCAAGATGCGGCTTGTTAATCTTAACACCTCCAAACCTAAACTGCTCTCTTTTAATCATATTAGAGAGCCTGTTTTGCTTGGCCGATGGCTAACCTTCAGGAGAGTAAATTGTTGCACCTTTTCAGTTTAATCTTTTCTTCGGATATGAATTAGAATGATTATGCCAGTAGGAAATTTAGTTCTCTGTGTCCTGCTAGACAATTTTCTTCACCCGAATCGGTCTTGAACATTTCTGAATCTACCATTCGTCCGTGCATTGATTATTCCTGCAACATCTAATCTGGATTTCTGCTATGTTTTTAGAGATTCTCGACAAAATACAAAAAAAGAATCTTTAACGTTCTTAGTTATCAATCACTTTCCCACAACTGTGAATTAACTTTCCTGTGGCTTTTCCAAAAATAAAGGGTGTTCCAATAACTTGGACCGATTTTAAATGTGAATTAAGTTTAAGTGTTTAATGATTTCTTTTCTTTTTCTTTCAGATTTAACAACTTAAGTCTTTGGTAATTTCAAACATGGAAAGATTAACAATCAAACAAAGTGTTAAAGTTATCGAAGCCTATTACGAAAATGGACGTTCAAACAAAAATCAAATGAGAAGTTCCCAGGTCGCATCGTGTCTTGAAACGATCGTGCTACTTGAGGCCTTTAGATTTCTTCCCTTGAGGTCATCTCAAAAGCAAGGCCTATGCCAACAAGCCAACAACAACTCAACAGCTGAAGAGTGAGATAATAAGGCATATTGGTGGGATCGAGGAGCAATTATGAAGAGACGTCATCAAAAATTTTGAAGGTTTGCCGCCGAAACCTTGGCGGATATTTGGGCGATATTATTTTTTACATATAATTGCCATGACTTAAATAACATGATCCAATAGAGAAATAAATAAATTTTCACCAACAACACTGATTTATTTAATGCAGAGTTTGATCCGTCTTAATGAAACACCCTTTATTCCCATGACATTTGTTCTGATGGTAAAAGGTGTTATTTTGTATCCCCCCGCATATACAGATTGTACATAAGGGAATTAGTTAGGACTCCATAGAGACTTTGAGGTATTATGGTGGCTGTAGTAAGATTGTAAGTATGGATGTGTTGCTTTGGTGCAAGAAATACTGGGGTATATTTGGGTCACTAATTGTGGCTAGCTAAGTTTAAGATAAGACAGACTCAAGACCAGCCTTCCACTACCCCCATTTTGGCACTGTGCTACATTTTTGCATTTTAAAAAAAAAAAAAAAAAATATCATTTTCTTCTTTAGTAGCTCGACTTCGTGAATTCAAGAATTGTACTAGATTGGCAGTTAGGTCTCATTATTATACTGTTGGAGCTTTTTCTCTCGCAATTCACGCATTTGTAACTCTTTTTTTGCTTCCTGTTTTTTATGTATTTGCATCGATAACGTTACAACTTTTAGGAATGTGTGCAAATATTTTTGTCGACTTAACAAAACTGTTCAATAAAAAAAAATTGCTAGCATTTAATTCAAATCACCAATTTATATTTTTAATTAAATCCGCTTTTGTATAGAGTGTGCACAGTGGATACATGATTAATTTGCTGGAGACATTAATTTTCCAGTTTTGAACCTGATGTGTCAAGCATGTGCAGGCAATTGACGCAGACCCATACTTCATTTAATTAGTACGACTCGTTGGCACAGGTATCTACTTCAGTCATTGTATTCATATGCGACACTGCATAAATTTCTAATTAAGCCACACCCCTGATCTTTTCAAACAAGCAAAGAAGTTTAAGAATTTAATTCTATTTCTTGGGGACTTTATTGTCATAAATTGATGATTACATGGCGTTGGGAATGAAACGCTTGTGAATATCACAGACCACTAAAGAAAACAGCCCGCAATAAATTCAATATTATCTTAGTCTTTACACTTGTTCTTGTTACCATTATTGACGCACCAGACATTCGTCGTCAATGGCTTGATTAAATTTTCTCATTTGTTATTTAACAGAATTCTTAAGGAATTACGCCAAAATGCAATGCATTTGGTTTGGGTTTATTTAGATTTATTTTGTTTTACGGCATATCAACCTGAATGGGATATTTAATACTAGCAAGATTTTAAGAATATAATATATATTCTTTGTAAGAATTCAGTTTGTAGATCAGGTCTCATTAACTTATTTTTGTAAAGAGGTTTTTCTCGAGAGTCCAATGTATTGCTGGTAATATTCTTTTCGCTTTTCAAGTACTTTTGCTGGTATTTTTATTATAAAAATCTATTTTTTATGCTTTCATAATGTTTTGACACCATTTTGCAAGTTTACTATTTGCTCATAGTTGGGATCCTTTTGTTTTAACTTCTTGTAACTTGTGAATGTCGACAGGAATTTTCTTGCAGATGTCATTCAATGGAAGATGAATCATTCATATGCAGAGGGACCCGTCTTCATATATATATATATATATATATATATATATATATATATATATATATATATATATATGAAAATTTCTCCGATTTAATCGGTAGAAGACAATATTTATGAATAAAAATGACAATAGGAAAACTGGTAATTGCTGACGCGTTTCGTCCAATGAGGACTTTTTCGTATTTTGCTTTGATAAAGTCCCATTGGACGAAACGCGTCAGCAATTACCTGTTTTCCTATTGTCATTTTTTATTCATAAATATATATATATATATATATATATATATATGGAGACGGGTCTCTATAAATATATATATATATATATGGAGACGGGTCTCTCTCTCTATATATATATATATATATATATATGAAATAAATATTTTAATGATTTATTTTACCATATTCAGCTGACCAAACAACATAATCAGAACTATTCGTTCGACCAAATTCGACTTGGTTATTTGCGCGTAACTGAATATAACGAAGCCAATTGGAATAGGAACTTGGCACTCCGATTAACAATTCCAAGCCATTACCCCATTGAAAATACAAGCTTACAGCATGTGGTATTCATAAATGGTCACTTATCTAGGTACTGACCAAGCTCAACGTTGCTTAACTTCGGTGAACGGAAGGGAAACTGTGTTTCAACATGATGTGGCCGTAAGCCGGGTTGTAATAGCGCTTTTTTGGTGGGTAGGTTATCTGTTAATGATTTAAAAAGCCAAATTCTTTCTTTCATGCAACAATAAAGTTAATTTTTTGGGCAAATATATTAGAATTATTCATACAAAAGATATAACTTTTGCAATAGCAAAATTACTTAATCATAGTCGTCACGTTTTCAGAGTTCGTGTAAATTAGTTTTAAATTATTTCTCTAATAATACACACTGACCTGCTTCGAGACTGAGTCAAATGTGTACTTTCTACCGCCATCCTTACTCGTTATTTGAGTCTCGTTAAAAGATCGAATTTTAAAATGTTGTTTTTCTAAGCCACATGGGAGGATCAGGTTTGGTTTGCTTTGTTTTACGTCATATCAGCCTCAATGGGTTATTTAATGTCGATAAGATTTTTTATTGCTGGTAATATTTTTTTCCAAGAATGTATTGCTGGTAATCTTTTTTCCAAAAATGTATTGCTGGTAATCTTTTTTCCAAGAATGTATTGCTGGTAATCTTTTTTCCAAAAATGTGTTGCTGGTAATATCTTTTAAAAAAATGTGTTGCTGGTAATATTTAAAAAAAAATGTGTTGCTGGTAATATTTTTTTTCCAAAAATATATTGCTGGTAACATTTTTTTACCAAAAATACATTGCTAGTAATATGTTTTTTATTTAAATGTATTTCTGGTAATATTTTTGAAAAATTTTTTGTTGGTAATATTTTGTGAAAAATGTATTGCTGGTAATCATTTTTTTTCAAATATTCATTGCTGGTAATATTTTTACAAAATACATTGCTGGTACTAAATCTCTTTTTACACTTTCATAGTGTAGGTTTATTGTTAATGATTTAAAAAAGCGAAATTCTTTCTTTCATAAAGTTATTTTTTTGTGACAAATATATCAGAATTAGTAATTGGATGCGAACTTGAATATGTTTTCTTACTATTCATATCAAAAACCTGAATTATCTGATTATACATTCTGACAAATATCACGAAAAGACGATAAAAATCGAATTTGAACTTCAGCAAGAAAACGAAAACGAGGCAAGAATGTTAATTTGGATAAAAGATAATATTAGATACCATTAAAATTGTTATTAATTCTAGCGATGTTTGAATACGCACAACCGGTTCTTTATTGCTATTTATTTATTTATTTATATCAGTATTTTCTCAGATAAGAGCTTTATATCTGGTAATTAATGCATGGATAGCGTCCCATAACTCTCAGCCTTAGATATCATGCAATTTCTGTTTGAATATTCATGATTTTTAGAATATTCTTCCTTTCTGTAACAGTTACATTGGGCAATTAATGTCAGTTTTATTTGTCTATGTCTCTATTGTGTCAGTCACCGTACCAAGTCCACCAAAGAAAACTGGTATGATTGTGACCTACTTCCATTTGCACTTGTTATATATTTTAATGACTCGATTACTATTTCTTCTTCCTTGTATCAAAAGGAAACGGTGAATCAATGATTGATCCTTCTCTTTTCTTCTTCACCTTCCATCAGCCTGTATGGTTTGTTGAGTTCTACTTTCTTATCTATGTGTCTTGAAAGATACTCACAAACCTTTGTCTATTTCTGAATCAAGGATTTTCTCAGGTTTATGGTTGTATCATTCCTTTTCTCGATGAATCTCCCACTTCGACAATTTCCAATGAGTGATTTTGGCAACTTGCTCATGTCTTCGCTATATAAACTGAGCTTAACCTGGGCATTAAATTCCCCACATATTCAAAAGTGGCCCAGGAAAAGTGGTGTTATCTCTTCTTTGTCGACATACTTCCTGATATTATTTCTACTGGTCGCCTTATTTTGAATTGCTATTAAGGTCTTTCAATTCCCTCTTTCGAAAACATCTTTTGCAACCAATTTCATTGCCTCTATTTCTTTCGGTTGCTTTCTCAAATAGTCTATGCAATGCTTTTTCTCTTGCAACCTTAGGTTCTAATTCATTTATTACCCTTTATATAACGTGTTACTTGTTCACAATTTTAATATAGTGCAAGGTCCGCAATAAAGTCGAAATAAAAATAGAACAAGCATATAGTCATCAACAGATAAGCTGTTTTGCAGCTGCGCATAAAGAGACGTCAGTTTGCTTCAAGCCGGGATCGAAACCTGACTGATTTAATACCGGTCAGATATCTTACAGCTAAAATACTGTCGCACGGTTGAAAGGGAGGGCATTTTGATGATTTTCTCTATACGAAACACGACAGCGCTCGGAGAACTCAATTCGTATTTGAAGAGTAAGGCTTAATAGCAGTAGGAGACGATGTTTTTAAAACCCCCCTTTCCCTTGATGAATGAAAGATGTATGACAAAATGGAAAAAGATTTTAGTGTGACGCGTTTCGTCCCATAGACATTCATCAGATTGGGTTTGTTAACGCTGATGCGACTACACATGCGCACGAAAGAGTGACAATGGGAATTTTAAATTTTAAAAATATTTCTGTTAAATTTTATATTTTTAAAATGTTTTTTAGGTATATAATCGAACAAATTTCATTTAGATACTTTTTGTTTTCTTATATATATATATATATATATATATATATATATATTCCATCATCTTTATATTATCCCTCCAAAACTGTTATTGATATATGAAAAAAATGATATCGTTATCGTTATATATATATATATATATATATATATATATATATATATATATATATATATATATATGTGTGTGTGTGTATATATATATATATATATATATGAGAATACGGGGTGCGATGGATAAATTGTCATCTAAATTACGCGAAAATGAAAAGTGACGTCTTATTTTAACAGATATATGTACCAAAATTACACAAAATATCTTGATTAGTTAATAGTCATTTTCACCTACGAATTTTAAATTTTAAATTGCAGGATTTTTCAAACTGCTTATGGCATCAGTTTGTAGAAGGAGACCCATCCACAAGATGGTATCTTTTATTTCAACTGTAAGAAAAATTTTGCTCTGTTCTGAGTCAGTTTTAGCATTTTATATTTCAAATTCTATATTGTGTTAATAGATTATCCCAACGGGTTACTACCTACCTACCTTCTTACCTACACACACACACACACACACACACACACACACACACACACACACACACACACACACATATATATATATATATATATGGGGGTGGGCATTAATACTAGTAGTTTAGCGGAAGCAAGCTTCTGTTATTCAGAGTCGCTTCATTAAGTTGTAAAATATAAAATCAAAATCAATGTAAAAAATGTAGCATAGAATGTATCCAGCAGAGAAATACATTTTGTAAACAGTAACCGATATGAATTGGAGATTATTTGATCAATAAATATTATCCCTGAAGCCAAGAAATCCTGCTACGCTTCATCATTATAATGACCATTATGGGAATAGTCGTGAACGAAAAAATTAGACATATGCTGTTTTTGATACGCTTGAAATGTTGAAGTATATGATACAAATACTCTCCCTTCTTAAACTGCTTCTCCGTGGTGTAATGGCTAAAGAGCCTTTCTCGCTCTACGAGTGGGTAGTGAATTCGATTCTCAATGTGTCCTTTTTATTTTCTATCGTCTTCTTTTATCTCTTGCATATTTCTCACTTTTCTTATTTTTAGTCTTTTTCTCTTATATTCCTTTCCTTGTTTTCCCAATTCTTCTTTTATTCTTTATTTTTCTTCGATTACGTCCCTTCCTTTAAAATAATTGCTCATCTCTTGCAACTACCTCCAACTTTATTTTATTTTCCTTTTCTTTCATCTCCTTCTTCCTCTTTAGGCTTACTACCGCATCATATTGAAAAATCGTATAATCGCCGAAGTTAAGCCACGTCGAGTTTGGTCATAACTGGATAGGTGGCTGCTTGGAAATACCACTTTTTGTAAGCTTGGATTTGCAATGATGTAATAGGTAATGGCTCCGAATAGTTAACCGGAGAGACTAGTTCCAATTCCAATATATTTTCTGGCTTTAAATAACCTGCAAAGATTTGATAAGCCGTAGAGGATGAACGAATCAACCTTCTTTTTATATTTTCCTTCTCTTACATCTCACTCTATTTTCCTTCTCTTTCATTTTCCTCTGTTTTCCTTCTCTTACATCTCCCTCTGTTTTCCTTCTCTTACATCTTCCTCTGGTTTCCTTCTTTTACATCTCCCTCTGTTTTCCTTCTCTTTCATTTCCCTCTATTTTCCTTCTCTTTCATTTCCCTCTATTTTCCTTCTCTTACATCTCACTCTGTTTTCCTTCTCTTACATCTTCCTCTGGTTTCCTTCTTTTACATCTCCCTCTGTTTTCCTTCTCTTTCATTTCCCTCTATTTTCCTTCTCTTACATCTCCCTCTGTTTTCCTTCTCTTACATCTTCCTCTGGTTTCCTTCTTTTACATCTCCCTCTGTTTTCCTTCTCTTTCATTTCTCTCTATTTTCCTTCTCTTTCATTTCCCTCTGTTTTCCTTCTCTTATATCTTCCTCTGGTTTCCTTCTTTTACATCTCCCTCTGTTTTCCTTCTCTTTCATTTCTCTCTATTTTCCTTCTCTTACATCTCCCTCTGTTTTCCTTCTCTTACATCTTCCTCTGGTTTCCTTCTTTTACATCTCCCTCTGTTTTCCTTCTCTTTCATTTCTCTCTATTTTCCTTCTCTTTCATTTCCCTCTGTTTTCCTTCTCTTACATCTTCCTCTGGTTTCCTTCTCGTTCATTTCCCTCTGTTTTCCTTCTCTTTCATTTCCCTCTGTTTTCCTTCTCTTACATCTCCCTCTGTTTTCCTTCTCTTACATCTTCCTCTGGTTTCCTTCTTTTACATCTCCCTCTGTTTTCCTTCTATTTCATTTCTCTCTATTTTCCTTCTCTTTCATTTCCCTCTGTTTTCCTTCTCTTACATCTTCCTCTGTTTTCCTTCTCTTACATACTCCTCTCCTTTTTTCTTTATCTTTCTTCTCTTTCAACATATTCTTTGCTTCTTGATTTTCTTCTCTTACATCCTCGTTTCTTTTTCCTTCTTTTTCCTTCTCTTCGTCATTTTTCTGGACTTTTTTCTTTTTCCACCGACTAGTCCTCTTCTTCGTATTTCCTTCTTTCCCCTTTACTCATTTTCTTTTCTTTTATTCGTTTATTTTATTCTTACTTTCCCAACCCTTTTTTTTTAATTTTCTTTCCCCCTCTATTTTGTTTTACATTTCTTCCTCTCCCCCGTTCTGATCTTACACTACCCGTTCACGCTCTTCTCATCCAATCCGTTTTTCTTTCCTTCACACTTCGTTTTTCACTTCTCCTATTCTTCTTCTTCCTTCTGCTGATTTTTCTTCTTTTTTACGTACTAATTTCTGTTCTTAGTATAACCCGTCGCCCATTTTTGATTTATTTCTCTGATTTTTTTTTCTTTTCTTATACTTTTCTTGTCTTTTCTTCGTTACTATTATTTATCTCTTTGCAATTTACTTGATTTAACCGTCTTTATTCCCAAACAAATTTAGTTTCTTGGAATCGACAACCGAAAGATCATAATTATTCATTTTCCAAATATGTCAGCTTTAGTTCCACTCCAATAACACACTAAACTTTGAGAAAAACACTTACATTTTTTTTCCTTCTGTATCCCTTTATTGATCTTTCGCGTAATTTGCAATGCGTTTTTGGCACTAAAAATGTCTATCTCATCTCCTGTGTATTTCCTTCAACAGATTCAATCTGCTGTTTTATTTTCTTCAATATTTCAATTTTGGTTTTCTTCTGATCTATCTATTCGGATGTTGATTTATTTATCGCTAATATATGAAGTCAGTTCAGAAAATAACCAGCTAGTTGTAATAATAATAATAATAATAATAATAATAATAATAATAATAATAATAATAATAATGATGATGATGATGATCATCATCATCATCATGATAATGTACGAACACCACCCAGACCCGGTTACGGAGATAGGACCTGTTAGAATTCTATGGGACTACACAATACACACTGACAGAACAGACAAGGCCAACCGCCCAGATATTGTTATTAAAGACCACAAACAAAAACGGTGCCTCCTTATTGATGTGGCAGTCCCTGCTGACTTCAATGTATCTTTGAAGATATTCAAAAAGCTGTCAAAATACAAGGACCTTGAAATAGAAATCTCGAAAATGTGGCATATGGGAACATCAACAATCCCTGTTGTAGTTGGAGCCCTAGGACTGGTTGGAAAAGATTGCAGTAGACTAATTGAAGGGATTCCTGGAAGTCCATGCCTCAAGGAGATACAAAAAATTGTTCTGACAAGTACAGCCGACATTTTACGAAGGGCTTTATCTATGTAATTTTTTTTTTTGTCAGTGGAAAGTGTCATGATGCCATTTCTAACCTTAGGTCCCTGGGCGGGACCCGGAAAGAAATGAGTAAACATCAGAAATCAAAGAAAATAATAATAATAATAATAATAATAATAATAATAACAACAACAGCAACAACAACGCCAAAACAACAACAAAAAAAATAAAAAAAAACAATACAAAAACACCACGCAGACCTGGTTACGGAGATAGGACCTCTAACAATTTTATGGGACTTCACAATACACACAGACTGAAGAATCAACTCTAATCGTCCAGACATCGTGATTAGAGTCCTCAAAGACGAACTGTGTCTCCCTATTCATATGGCATTCCCTCCATGCTGCAATGTATCTTTGAAGGTCTCCAAAAGGCTATCAAAATACAAGAACCTTGAATTTGAAATCTCCAAAATTTGGCACATGAGAACATCAACAATTCTATTTGGAGTTGGATCCCTCAGACTGATTAGAAAGGATTCCCGTAGACCCATTGAAGGGGTTCCTGGAAGTCCATGCCATAAAGAAATATAAAATTTGTTCTCACGAGTACAGCCCACACCTTACGAAGGACTTTAGCTATATAAAATATGTGTGATTTTTTTCGGAATTGCTCAGTGGAAAATGTTATGGTGCCCTTTCTGACCTTAGGTCTCTCGTCGGGACCCGGAAAGAAATAAGTAAACACCAGAAATCAAAGGAAATAAAATAATAATAATAATAATAATGGCGATTTAAGGGTGAGACAGAAAGATTTTTCTTGCTGCACAGAACCAGAAACTGTTTACACGCAAAGTTTTCCTTTCCGATATGCTAGGTCCCTTTTAGCGATCATGTCTCTTCACAACATTCTATCTTGTGTCGCTCTTTTTCTCTCTTTGCTACGGACCCGCGTCCCGTTCCACCTTTGATCCACAGAATCTTGTCAGTTAAGTGGTTCGCTACCAACTCCTATCACTTTTGCCCACAATATACCCTGGGAGGGTCAGGTTTTCCACGCTCTTCTTCCTCATTATGGGATCAAGGTAATTTCAACTGTCTTTTTTCTGATACAAGCCTTCTTTCTGCTGCTATACTTTCTGTTGCTTACCCTCTCAGTCCATGGAATTTTCAGTTACCTTGTGTAGAATCACATTTCTGCTTCCTCCATTCTTTTTCTTAATCTGTGCAGAGATTGTTTTACATTCACTGGCATATAAGAGGATTGATATCACAAAGCAATCAAGCACTCTTTTATTTGTTCTTAAAAGATGTTTTATCGTTTCTTTGTACTTTCATTAACTTTTTTCGCTAGTCGAATGCGTATTCGTATCTCTGTGTCGCACTTTCTATCCTCTGTCAAAACACTTCTCAGATATTTGATTTTTCTGCACCGGCTTGATGTTATATCTCCAATTCGTAACCCGCATCTCTCGCTTTTTTTCTTGTTGATGTTCACATTTTCTCTCTTCTTCCAGTTGATGGTTAGTCCTTTTTGCCCGCTTTCTTCTCCGTCCTGGGTATGACGATAAACTACATCCGCGTCCTGGTTAAGACGATAAACAACATCCGCGTCCTGGGTAAGACGATAAACTACTTCCGCGTCCTGGCTATAACGATAAACAACATCCGCGTCCTGGGTAAGACGATAAACTACTTCCGCGTCCTGGCTATAACGATAAACTACATCCGCGTCCTGGCTATGACGATAAACTACATCCGCGTCCTGGTAAGGATGATAAACAACATCCGCGTCCTGGGTAAGACGATAAACTACATCTGCCTACAGGGTAAGACGATAAACAACATCCGCGTCCTGGGTAAGACGATAAACTATATCTGCCTACAGGGTAAGACGATAAACTACGTCTAACAGCAGGGCCTCTGATCAGGAGGTTTGAGAACTGCGGAACCACCTCTTAATTCCTGGTGTTCCCAGGTTCACCCAGACCCGGAGTTACTAGCACCTGTCAGGGCCCCAATTATGGGAAAATAGTTAACCCATAAACTGGGGTTAAACACTTTCAAAATGTAAAAATAGGTTTTAATAACAGCAATAATGTTTTTAAAGTAAAAATTATTACTAGTATTACATTATTATTTGCATATTGTAATACATTATTATTTGAAGAAAATAAATATTACCAGCAATACATTTTTGGAAAAAATGTTACCAGCAATAAAAAAATCTTGTCGGAATTAAATAGCCCATTGAGGTTGATATGCCACAAACCAAACCAAACCGCTTTCCTCTCTACCAGCCTGTCTAGGTGGGCCTGTAGTTTCCTTTCCGTGTCAGTCATCATCTTGACCTGCGAGTCAATAATGAGAATGAAATAAATTTATAATAATTATTTCATTATAAATTGAGACAAACTTTACAGAATTGAATTCATGGAGATGACCATTTTTTCCATGCACACTTTCCACTAACTCCTACGACTGTCTACATGATAACTATTTTCTACTTTTTCTCTTGTTATTAAGCGAAACATTTCACAAAGTTACTTTAAATGCACACGCATAAAAATTGAATAAAGTGCACTAACGAATTAGTTTTCTGATGTGAAGTTGCAAAATATCCAGACGTGGTAATGGTAATTAAAGCCGTTTCTTCATAAGGAAACATTTGTCATTCACTGACCGATCAGCCAGTACTATAGTCGGTTGGAATTTATAAAATCGTTCTCATGAAACAATTTTTCAGGAAAATATGCATGGCAAGTCCTTTAGCTGATATAGCTCTTTCGAGTATTGTCGGGTGTTTTCTTTCTAACGTTTTGTTTGAAATAGTCTGGAACGTCACTATACATTTATTCACGTATATATACTTATGAAAACCCCAGGAATCTTGAAAAAAATTGTTTCTAAAATGTTGTTAGTAAAATTCTTTTTTCATTAAGAATATCCATTAAGGACATGGGCTACTATAGCTGTCCACATCTGACTATTCTTTAGAGGTCTAAGCAAAATTTGTCCCCTTAATATACCCCCCAGTCGCTTCTGCCAAGCACGTTAAGTAAATAGGTCTATGTTTCCATCTATCCATCTTGCCTTATGAGTGTTAATTCCCGAAGTCGTCTTTTTTCATTAAATGTTCTTTTTTTAATTTCCTTTGTAGATACCTATCTATTTGTCTGCATTTCTGATTGACTAATTTGTTTTTACGGCTAATCAAACATTTGTGGGTTAATTAAAACTGAAACATATTTTGGATTACAAGAATAATTATTCATTTGCGAGTGAATATTGCATTAAAATTTGTTTTTTCAAGAATAATGTTTTTTTTTCAGATTCTATTAATTAACCCATAGATGGGGGGATGAGATAGATTTTTACCTTTTCGAAGGGGATCTGCGTGTAAGTGAATGCAAAGAACCCGACTGGAATTCGAACTCGACTCACCGATTTCTTATTCCGAGCCGCTATAGATTACACTCGACGTACATCCTCTGTACTTCTGTTTATTTTTATTTGTTTAATTTATTTATTTTTTTTTTTTGCATCCTCAACTTAGTTTTCCGAAATTATTGGCCAGGATCTTCCCCTTGTTCATTTCGGAGTTAGTTCTGATGTGAATTCAAGGTTATTGTAACGATTATCAGCATTGAAAGACCGAATCGGCAAAAGGAAATCGAATTTTTACCCAAAGTGTTTTTGTTCAATTGATACTCGAATGAAAGATACGAATCAATATCGACAAGTTCATGGTGCTTTTCCATTGTCAGATATTTTGACAAAAGATTACTTGCCCTTAACACGCAGCAGTTATTGACAAAAAAACAAAACAAAACAAAACAAAACAAAAAAAAAATAGAATTTAGTGAGAGAGGCCTTGTAAAAATCACTTTCCTACATCTACCGACCATGTTGTCATAACTGCAAAAGTTTGTCACGCGCATTGTCAACTGTGAAGCTTAATGTCGAACAAGTCCAAAAGCCGCTTACATTAACTGGCTTTTCTCAGCGGTCACCTAAGTACTGTTTATCAAACGAGAAGCGATGATTTTAGCGTGACTTGACTTGAATGTACGCAAGGAAAGGAAAGACTGTAAATCGCGCCAGCATCGACCAAAGAAACCCTTTCGGGCGCCTCATCGTGGTGTGCTTGTCAGGAGCTTGGACTTGCAGATCATTAGTAGTGAGTTTGATCTTCCCTTGGTGCCCAATAATTGTGGTCTTGTACCAAAAGTAAACATAGGCGACTCGGCGGAAGGTAACTGCTAGTCAGCACGTCTGGTTGACTATTGCAAGTTCTAACTTTGTAGGACCATGGTTACTTTCTCATCTTTCATTTTCTCTGTCGTATCAAAGGGACACGGTGGAAAAGTGATTAGCTATTTCTTGTTTTAGCTTACACCAATATGTCCGATTTGTTGCGCCTCAGTTTCTATTTCTGTTGAAAGATCGTACAAATTCTTATCTGTTTCTGATTGGAGGACATTCTCAGGCTTATGGTTTTACCTTTCCTTCTTTCATTGAAACCCGTAAATCTGACACAACTTTCAATGAATGATTTTGGTAACTTGATCATGTCTTCGGGGATTATATCCATTCTGAGCTTACCTTGAACGCTCATGTAAAATATATTATAGCTTCATCAAATTCCCCACTCATTCAACAAAGTGGTGATATCTCATTTTGTAGACATTCTTTGTTATATTACTTCTGCTTGTCGCCTGATCTATTTTAGTGCTTTCATTTTTCCTTCTTGGGAAACACTCCTTTTCAACCAATTCCTTGTGACTTTGGCTCTACTATCGTCTGAAGCTTTCTCGAATTGCCCATGTAATAATTTTGTTTCCCTTTTTACCTTATGCTCTTGAATATTTTTTCAATCTATTTCACTTACTTGTAAAAACCTGTCCCTTTTTCCCAATTCTCATCTGTCATTGATGACAGATTATATTAAAGATGCGTTATGTGAGTAGAAGAGATATCATTTGCTTTTCTAGGTTTGGGGTTGTACCATTTCTTGCTGAAAACACCACTTTTCATACAACTTCCAGTGAATGATTTTGGTAAGTTGATCATGTCTCCGCCTTTTATACTAATTCTGAGTTAAAGACTTTTCTCTTTACCTTTTTAAAGAAGAGATAACAGTTGCTTTCCTGCGAAAGGATTGGCATCCGATTGACACTGTAATGAAAATTCTTCTCAAACTGCCTATGCAATATTTTCTTGTCTCTTGCAACCTTACGTTCTTCATGAATTCCTTTTGGATCTACTGCATTTTTCACAATTTTCACAATTTCTTTTGTGGTCGTGTACAAAAGTAAGTTGATGCTTCTTGAGACAAACTAATGAGTAACCAGATCGCCTAATAGACTATTTGTAATTTATAGTGATTTCGATCTTAAATTGGTGCCTCATAATTGTAACTTTGTGAAAGACGAAACAAAACAAAACAAAAATATATGCAAGTACTCGTTCGGTTGACAGTTACTAATATTTAGTGACAGCTATCTTTACTAGGTGCCTCATGATTTTGCCTTTATATCAAAGGTAAGTTTAAAACCCCTCCGGAGAGATAGGGCTAGACAAAGCATCTGGTGGACTATTTTTTATTGTACAGGGTGATACAGTCTTGGGCACATTTCAAGTCCTCATATCTACTGAACTATGAATAGTAGTAAAATGAAACTGGTACCATTTTAAATCTAAATTAATTAAGTGTTTTTTAATGCTAATGATTTTTTCATATTCCTTCAGATCCAGTAATGGCGTTCACTCAACCAGAAAAGGCGTTTTGCGTTCTTTAATTTGCAAAAACTGAATCATGGACACTTGCGCAACGTGCATTTCGCACAAAATTCCGAAAAGAGGCACCAGAGAAAGGGAGTCCATATTGAGATGGCATGGTAAATTCAGGAAGGATGGGTGTTTGTGTCCACCTAAGAGAACTGGATAACCCTCAACTTCAGATGATACGGTTGAGTGGGTTCGAACTGCCTTCGAGCGGAGACACCGTAAATCGATCAGAAGAGGCAGTGAGGAACTTCGCCTTCCTACAACAACTGTTTGACATGTCTTAAAAAGCCGACTGAACATGACACCTTACAAGCTACAGTTAACCCAACAGTTGCAGGGCACTGATAAACAAGCTCGTCGTGACTTTTGCATTGCAATGCAAGAAAAGTTGGTAGATGACGAATTGGATGTGTGCCGTGTGACCAACGGTGCTCACATTGAACATCTTCGAACATTCCGTGTAAAACTAGAGATAAAATTCTTTCAGAATATCTCAGGCAAGATATGTTCGAGATATTCAATGTCAAAATGTGCCCAACACTTATGGAACACCCTGTTTATTCATTTCGACCCTCGCCGGTGTCTCATAATTGTATTGTTACACTAAAAATAACCTGTGGTACTTCTAAGTAAGGTAATGCCTTTCCAACTTGTCTGGTTATGTTATTACTCTTTATAGTGAATTCTATCCACAATGGCTGCCGTGTACGCATTCTTTGTAAACTAAGCTCAGTTTCGCAAATAATAACAACTGACTTTTTTTTTCCTGACCTAGTAAAATCTGAACGCACAGTTGCTTTGCTGCAATACGCATTGACAAATTCAGCCATGATAATGCCTCATCTACTCCGAGGCCCATTATACTAGACTAATCTTTAGCGGCAACTGGCATGATTACTGAGGCGTTGATCGGAAGAATCGAGTGATATCAGTAATGAGAAATATAAAAGAGCAAGCTAAATAAAAAAAAACGAAGTCAGACTGGATAAATAAGGGCTCATAACGTTTGGAAAGTAATAAAAAAAAGTGGAACTGTATAGAAACGTTGCAAATGAACGAATGTGTACGCACAAGGATTCATTTTTGTTTTTTTTTTAACTTTGAATTTTCTTTCTATACAATAAAACGTAGCTTACAGCTGAGTGGTCGGACTAATTCTGCTTTGAATATATCGTTACGATTAATAAACTTCCGTTTGATATTCGGTTGAATGTTAGAGTTGACCGTGGAGGCAACGGATTTTAGCTTTATAATTACGTTAGCTGTCGAGTCAAGTAGTTAGAAGAGAGCTTATAGACATACACTCTTTTGTGGACAGAGATTCAATGCAATACATACATGACAGTATTCTTGTGTCAGTGATGAGTAGACTGACGATCCACATCCTAAAATGTTTAAAGACTACGTATGATTTACATGTATTTAGCTTTCTTCTATCCTTGATATGTCGTAAGCTACGGTAATCCGCTTAATAGATGAGTCATACTAAACAATCATTGATTGGTTGTTTTGAGTTTTACGCCTTATTAAGCCTTTGCGAGTTATCTCAAGCCAAATCATCATTTTTGAATTTTAACAATATCTTTTATATTTTTGTGATTAATTATCGTAATTTCACATGTATAATACGCTTTTTTTTTCTAAAAAGTAACAAGCAAATTTAGGGGGGCGTATTCTGCATAGCTACAAAAAATCTTCAAAAAATTGCGGTTTCATATGTCGATTTCAATTGCGAAATGACTACTCACTAGATACATACGACAATTTGACACTAATATTCGGCGATTGCGACTCCATAAGGATGTCAAATACAATCGTATATACCTAACAACACGTACAAATGTAAAATAAGAATTATGATAAAACTAAATTAGAATAGTATTATTTTATGTTTAAAACCATTTTTGGGAAAAAAAACTACATACAAATCCGGTAGATTGCACATTTTATCGAATAAAACCAGGTTAATGATTCTGCGCAGAAGGCACAATATAGGTATTTCCGTTTCCTTTTAGAATCGTGATGATCGGAAATTTTGACAAATAACTTTACTTACAGTTTGAATAAGATTAGGAAACGCTGGCTGTAATAAAATTCGAGAAGTACTATTTATAGGGTGTGATTATCAAACAAGGGGTACGTATTATGCGTTAGTTGAAGCATTTTCCCACATTTTCAGTACAATTTTAGGGCTGCGTATTATGGATGAAGGCGTATTATACCCGGGGAATTATGGTTATTAATATTGTTTTAGAATAATGATGATTTGTTTTCCATATATAAGTTCAATTATTTAATCCATAGCTGGGAAGTTGAGATGAGATGGATTCATAACTGGTGTTTGCGCGCACAATGTAACGAACACAAGTGAAATTCGAACCCGGCTCTCCGATTTCTCATTCCGAGCCACCCACACACTCATTTATCAAACATTCTCAGATACCATTGATACTCTAGCAAATTATACCCCCCCATTGTCTAGCAAATAAATTTCGAGATTAAGTCTTGATATCTCGCTGTCTAGTAACTATAGAAAAGTTATATCATGGAATCTGGAAACGTTTTGAATTTTTCTTTCTAGAAGAGATTTATTTCTCATTTATTTTTTTTTTCATTATGAATATTTATGGAACATTTTTAGTTACTCCTAAGATATTTACATATTATGAAGTATTTTATTACACAATACGGCTTAACCATAGTAAGAACACTACGCAAAAGAAAACATGAAATGTAAAAGAAAGTTAATGAATAACAAAGCACAAACATAGAATACGAGCGTGTATGGTGAATTTCTAAACGCTGCTTAGATGTGTCACAAGGCCGAAACTATGGGGCACCCAGTGAGGATCGAACTCGCTACTCACTCGTAAGTGTTTTAGTAAGGGAAGCTTGACTAACCATTACACAACGTTGAGGTACCGAAATACGAGAGTGCATGTGTTTGCAAATATTACTGCAAATAAATGCAGTTGTCGGTATTTATAAAGTGTACATTCCATCCATACATGGAATTAATTAAATAACAACTCAGTCTGCAATTCAATATTACGATACCCCAGGCATCAGGGAATTAATTTTACTCGCCAAATTTAAGTGAAATAGAAAGAGCTGCTGACTAGTGTTAAGCATGATAGATGCGATTTTTGTATGGTATTTAGGCATAAACGTACAGGAATGAGATATGTCTGAAGGGAAAAGTGTTGTAAGCGCACATGGAACTAGTAACAAAATCTGCTTTATAAGTCGAAGCTTTTCAACTTCTGGGAAGGCATAAGTCCCCAGGGATTAACTCTGGCTCTCCCTTATGGTAGATGTACTACATGTGGAGACAGATATGAAGCTAATAATAATAATAATAAGACATTTTTATTAAAGGCCACAAAAAAAAGAAAAATGTGCCTCCTTATTGATATGGCAGTCCCTGTAGACTGCAATGTAACTTTGAAGATATTCAAAAAGCTGTCAAAATACAAGGACCTTGAAATAGAAATCTCAAAAATGTGGCATATGGGAACATCAACAATCCCTGTTGCAGTTGGAAAAGATTCCAGTAGACTAATTGAAGGGATTTCTGGAAGTCCATGCCTCAAGGAGATACAAATAATTGTTCAAGTACAGCCCACACTTTACGAAGGGCTTTATCTACGTAATTTTGTTTTTGTCACTGGAAAGTGTTATGATGCCATTTCTAACCTTAGGCCCCCGGGCGGGACCCGGAAAGAAATATGTAAACGCCAGAAATCAAAGGAAATAATAATAATAATAATAATAATAATATTTACATTCGGACTATTGACCTCATCCTTGTTGTCGTTATTACAACGTTTCAGCCTTCATCAGGTGTATATCGATCTGGGTAACCTACAGGGAATACCAAACTGAACACTTTATTTAATCTACGAGGGATAGACTGTTCTCGTTCCACTGCTCATGTCTAGTGATATCTCGTCTAGTTCTTATTTTTAGTACTGCTCGGTTATTGCTTGTTCGGTTCCACTGAGTACAATTACCCATTGCCCAGCCCAAGGATTGAACTCACAGATATTATATCAACAAAATCATGAATCACTAGGCTATTGTCCCGTAGGACAATTCTCTCTAGTTTTTGACTGCTGTTGTTGTTGTTGAGGCTTGCTGTCATTTGTGGTTCTCTCTTTATTAGAACTAGACGAGATATCTCTAGACATTTGCAGTATAGATTAAATAAAGGGTTCAGTTAAGAATTCCATGTACGTTACTCAGCAAGATATCCACCTAAGTAGGGTCGGAGAACGCAACGGCCAAAACGCTGTGATGGCAACAACAAAGATGAGAACATATCTTCGAATGTGAATAATGTAAATAATGATAAATCTTCATCCCAGAAATTCAAAAAGAATTAGTATAATAATAATAATAATAATAATAATAATAATAATAATAATAATAAATGTATAATATAATTTATGGCTCGAAGTCGAAGTTAAAGATCGAGACCCACACGTACATGTAACCAGGTATAAAAACTGATGAAGGCCTTTCGATATTTTTCTATAAATATTCGTGTGGCAACCCTAAAATACTTAGATATGATATGACATATTTCAGTTACGGAATACGTCCTAACCATGTTCGAATCAAAACGAAGAAGAAAACGTAAAAAGTGAAGGAAAGAAAAGTAAGAAAAAAGTGTAAACCTAGAAACCAAGGTTTTAGTACCAACTGACTTCACAAAATTTTCATAATATATTTTTAGATATGAATATAAGGTATTTGCTACTTAACTGATATAGAAAGATGATCGGCATTCTACTATAGTAGAATAAACAATTTATAATAATAAACATTTCAATTTATTCAGATAGGGTGTTTGCCCGCGAAGTATATAGATGTTTTGAATATCTCAAATGGCCACTGTTTAAAACACATTCAAGTATTTTAGCGCTCTAATCACGTCACCCAGTTCTGTCAGAGGTCCCGACACAAGATTCCTCTAGCTTACGGCCACATCTATTTAATTTAGTTACTTTTTTTTGCAAAAATAAAAGTGTCGTTGAACTGGGAAAACAAATCCGAAGTAAAACGCAACAAAGCAAGCGATTCCGAAAGAAGAGTTTTGAAAAATGGTAGAGACGCTGGAATAAGTGTTTGAGGTTCAAGGGAAATGCAACGCATCATTTCTCTGTGTTTTTTTTTTAACCTTAATTGACTAAATCATTTCCAGAGAGACTTCATATATTTCTAGCCGCCTTTATAGGAAGGTAGGCTGAAAAGTTCATAGGTTGACGATGAAGGAGCGATGATGCTGGATATGTGAAATCTTGCATGCATTCATTTCAACTTTTCTTATTAATAACTGCATTGTTTCTTTCCAGGTATTCTGACATCCGATTGATTCAATACTTCAAAAGTAACTAAGAGAGAATTCATATGGAAATAGACAAAATTTGGCATTGTGGTATTCTTTCTTTCTTTAACCAAGTGCAACTATTTTTTTCTTTCTTTCCTTCTTTATCCGACTGGAACCATTTCTTTTCTTTCTTTATTTAAATAACTTATTGGAGCCAAAACCTATTGAAACCATTCATTTTTTCTTTCTTCATTAAACATATTGGGACCATTTGTTTTTCTTTCTTTCTTTCTTTCTTTCTTTCTTTCTTTCTTTCTTTCTTTCTTTCTTTCTGTCTGTCTGTCAGTCTCTGTCTTAAACCAATTGGAACCTTTTTCATTTTCTTCCATTCTTTCTTTAACCTACTTGAAGCATGACTTTTCCATTTCTTTCTTTCTTTCTTTCTTTTTTTAAACCTATTGGAAACATTTTTTCATTCGTTCTTTCTTTCTTTAACCTACGTTAAACATGAATCTATCATTTCTTTACTTTCTTATGCTTAACTAATAGAGAATTTATTTGAAAATAGACAAAATTTGGCATTGCGGTGTTCTTTCTTTCTTTAATCAAGTGCAACCATTTTTTTTCTTTCTTTCCTTCTTTATCCTACTGGATCCATTTTTTCTTTTCTTTCTTTATTTAAATAACTTATTGGAGCCAAAACTTAAACCTATTGGAACCATTCATTTTTTTCTTCATTAAACGTATTGACACAATTTGTTTTTCTTTTTTTTCTCTTTTTGTTTCTTTGTTTTTTTCTTAAACCAATTGAAACCATTGTTTTTAATTTTCTTCCTTCCTTTCTTTCTTTCTTTCTTTCTTTCTTTCTTTCTTTCTTTAACCTACTTGAAACATGACTTTTTCATTACTTTCTTAAGCTTAACTAATAGAGAATTTATTTGAAAATAGACAAAATTTGGCAATTGTGGTGTTATCAAGTACACGTAGAAAAAGGGCTAATCCCACAAGGGCATTCATGCTAACATGGTTACTATATTAGAGGATGACGGTCTAGCTTTATCAACCGAGCAAATTTAGGAGGGAAGGAAGAATTTTGAAGATGAGCCAAAGTCTGGCCGTCCCGAAACTGCCACCACTGAAGAAAAATTGGTCGTGTTCACCACATGACGGATGGATGAGAGGCGATCGACGATAAATCAAATAGACAATGCTATTAACATATCCCGTGAGAGTTGAAAATATTCGGCACAATGAATATGGCATGAAAAAGGTTTCTACTCGGTGGGTGCCTCAAATCTGACACCTGATCAAAATTGCAACAGGGTGAATACATTTCGGGAAAATTTGACATTGAGGCATATCCAGCTAGTTTCCTTGAATTTTTTTCTAATCCATGATGAGTGTTGGATCCATTCATTCCTTTGAGCCAGACACAAAAATACAATCTATGTAGTGAAAATACCTTTCCTCAACTTCTCTAAAGAAAATCGAGGTTGTTCAATTTACAGAGAAGTTGATGACCTCAGTTATTGGGATGCAAAAGGAATTGTGTTTATTGACAATCTTTAAAAGGGTCGCATCATCAATGGAGAGTACTGTGTCCACTTGCTGAGCTAGTTACGAAATACTATGAAAACCAAACGCTGAGGAAAACTGATCAAAGGGGTTATGTTTCATCAGAAAAATGATCGAAGTCCTTCGTGTCAGTGGCTGCTGTTCGTGACCCTGACTTTGAAGCGGTTGATCACGCTCCCTATTCACTTGATTTCGCCTCAGCTAACTATCATTTGCTCGGAAACAGCATCGCAATTATGATGAAGTCGTATGATGAAAGCTTCTTCACCAATGGGATCCAAGTACTGCAACAGCGAGGAAAGAAGTGTATAGGCCACATGGTGGACTATGTTGAAAAATAAACATCATTTAGTCACATTTTATGAGAGTATCTTGGTCAGCCTATGAACTTTTCAGTCGAACACGTTCATTATCTTTCAGTGCCGTTTCCAACGGACGTGGTTGGGGAGGTTTTTTATTTTCACCACACGTGAATATTGCAAGTGCTAGTATGCATCGTAATGTGTTAGAAGCAAGTTTCCCTCGAATGATTGCATCTAGACTACTCTCATTTTAAAAACGCTTTTGCTTCTTTACCAGGGATGTCTGAAATATTATCACGCGCTCTCTATATGGGTGTGGACAGATATTTGTTTCGTATATGCCAGCGTATATTTCTGTGGGTCTTTAGACTGGGTACACAGGCAAACTTTCTTATTGTATGATACGCCAGTTTTCCCATCATTTTTTTTTTCAAGTTAAAATTTGCTATAATTTTGAGAGCCGACAACCAAACATCGGTGCGCGTGCGCAAACTTTGCAAACGCATAAAAAGCGTCGGTTAGAGAGCGTGGTCTTCTAATATTCTCAATGTGTTCTCTTTTGCACGACGGATACGAGTAAAGGATAGGGAAAACTTTAACATAGAAACAGCGGCCATTGTTAATGTTCATAGCCGACATTTTTAGTCTTTTTTTTTTGCAAGCTGCCATTTCTATTACTTGGTTGCTACAGTCAGTTACATCCTTCGAAAGGTCCTCCTCCGAAGCCTTGTTAAGAGAGTGTGTGTCGATGTGTGCGTGCTTGTTTGTTCGAGTTGGGCGTGTTTGAAGTGTGGAGAGGTGACAGTGGGAGAATAGTTTAAAAAGGTCATGGTTCGTTTCAGTGAAATATTTCAGCTTTTCACACTTAATCCCAATCGATTTTTATTCCTCTTCGTTTTAAGAAACTTTTACCCTTTTCTTTCTTTAACATATTGGAACCATTTTTTCTTTAATTTTTAAAACCTACTGGAAACGTTTATTTTTTCTTTCTTTTTTAAACATATGGGGACCATTTATTTTTCATTCTTTTCTTCTTTAACTTATTGAAACCATTTGTTTTTATTTCTCTTTTTCTTTCTTAAACCTATTTCTTTCTTTTCTCCACTGGAAACATTGGTTTTTCTTTCTCCCTTAAGCCGATAGGGATCATTTTCTCTTTACTTTCTTTAACATATTGGAAACATTTGCTTTTCTTCTTTCTTTATTTCTATTTTCTTTCTTTTTTTACTTTCTTTCTTATATATTTGTTTTACTTTTCATACTTTTTTTAACCTCGTGGAACCATTTTTTCTTTCTTTCCATCTTTAACCTATTTAAACAATTTGTGTTCTTTCTTTCTTTCTTTTTTAAACCTATTGGAACTATTTGCTTCTCTTTCTTTAACCTATTGGAAACATTTGTTTCTCTTTTCTGTCTTTTTCTTTAACCTATTTGAACCTTTTTATCTTTCTTTCTTTCTCTAACCTATTGGAGCCATTTACTATCGTTCTGTCTATCTTAAACCTGTTGGAACCATTTGTCTTTTCTTAGACCTATTAGAAATATTTGTATTTCTTACCTCCTTTCTTTAGCTTATTGAGACCATTGGTTTTTCGTTTTTTTCCTTCTTTCTTTCTCTAACATATTGGTACTATTTGTTTTTCATTTCATTTTTGCTTTCTTTCTTTCTTTAACATACTAGAACCATCTGTTTTCTTTCTTTCATAAACCTATTGCATTCATTTGTTTTTATTTCATTCTACCTTTACCATTTGAAGCCATTTTTTCTTTTCTCTTCTTTCGTTATTAAACCTATTTGGACCATTTGGATTTCTTTCTTTCTTTAACCAAGGGCAAACATATTTTCTTTGTTTCGTTCTTGGGGCCATTTGTTTGTCTTTCTTGCTTTCTTTCCTTCTTTCTTAAACCAATTGGAACCATTTTTTCATTTTATTCCTTTCTTTCTTTCTTTAATCTATTTGATACATGACTTTTACATTTTATTCTTAAACCTATTGGAAACATTTTTCATTCGTTCTTTCCTTCTTTCTTTCTTTAACCTATGGCAACATTTTGCTTTTGTTTGTTTTCTTTCGTTCTTAAACATATTAGAATAATTTATCTTTCTTTCTCCTCTTTCTATAACATATTTGTTATTCGTACTTTCATTCTTAAACCTATTGTCAACAATTTTTCTCTCTTTCTTTCTGAATTCATTTGGACTCATTTTTTTCATTCTTTCTTTTTTAAACATATTCGAATTTTTTTTCTTTTTTCGTTCGTTCTTTTTTTTCTTTAACTTATTGGAACCATTTTTTATTTATTTCATTCTTAAATCTATTGGAATCATTTATTTTTTCTTTCTGAAAGCAATTGGAACCATATGTTTTTCCTTGTATTCTTTCTTAAATTTACAGGAAGCATTTGTGCTTGCTTTCTTTCATAAACATACCGTATCCATTTGTTTTGTTTTTTGCTTTCTTTAACCTTGTGTAACCAGTTGTTTCTCTTCCTTTTTCTTTCTTTCTTTCTTTCCTTCTTTCTTTCTTTCTTTCTTTCTTCTCTTGGAACAATTTGATTTCATTCAATCTTTATTTCTAAAAACTATTAGAAGCATTTTTCCTTCTTTCTTTTTTTTCGGCATATTGGAACCATTTGTTTTCTTTCTTTCTTTAATCTATTGGAAACATTTTTTCATTCTTTTTTTCCATCTTAAATCTTTCGGAACCATTTTTCACACTTCCTTTCTTTAACCTATTGGAAACGTTTCTTTTTTCTGTTCTTCTATTCCTTAAACCAATTGAAACCAATTTTTCATTCATTCATTCTTTCCTAAACCTAATGGGACCATTTATCCTTCTTTCTTTCTTTCTTAAATTTATTGGGAACATTTTTTCATTCTTTTTGCCTTTCTTTCCTCAACGTCTTTAAACAATGTTTTCTTTTATTCTTAAACCTATTCGAACCACTTGTTTTTCCATTCTTTCCTTAACACATTGAAAACATTTGTTTTTCTTTGCTATTCTTTCTTTCTCTCTTAAAAATAAGGGGGAAATTTTTCCTTCCTTTCTTTCTTTCTTTCTTTAATATATTGTAAGCATTTGTCTTCTTTTCTTTCTTTTCCTTCTTTCTTCTCCGTGTGGGAACCATTTTTTCTTAAAACTTTAAAAAAGATTTTTTTCTTTCTTTAACATATTGTAAACATTTCTCTCTTTTTTATTTTACTTTCTTTCTTTTGTCAACGTATTGGAACATTTTTCATTCATTCTGTCTGCCTTTCTTAGGCATATTAGGACCGTGTGGTTTTCTTTCCATTTTTTTAAAAACATATTTGAAAAATTGTTTTCTTTTCTTTCTTTTTTAATCCTATTGGAACTATTTATTTTTCCTTCTTTCTTTCATTAAGCTATTGAAACTATTTATTTTTTTATTTCTTTCTTTCTGTAATGTTTTTCTTTTCTTAAACGTATTGAAAGTATTTTCCCATTTTTCTTTAAAATATCGGAAACATTTTTAATCATTTCTTTAGCATATTAGAACCATTCTTCTATTATTTCTCTTTTCTTAAAAATATAAGAAGGATTTTTTTCATTCTTTTGTCTTTAAACTATTGCAACCATTTTTCTTTCTTTCTTTCATTTTTCTTTCTTTCTTTCTTACATCTCTCGGAACCATTTGTTTTTTTTTCCTTTAACCTAGTGAAAACATTTTTTCCTTTTCTTTGTTTCTTAAACATATTGGAATCATTTTCCATATTTTATTTAACATATTGGAAACATTTGTTTTTTCTTTTCGTTCGTTCTTAAATCTGTTGTAACAATTTTTCATTCTTTTTTCGTTAATTCTTTCTTGAAATGGAACCAATTGTTTTCATACTTTACTTAAAATATTGGAAATTTATTTTTTGTTTCTTTCTTTAACCTATTGGAAACATTTGTTTTTGTTTTCTTTTCTTTCGTTCTTAAATCTATTGTAACCATTTTTTCATTCTTTCTGAGCTAATTCTTTCTTCAAATGGAACCATTTGTTTTTGTTTCTTTCTTAGACTTATTGGAAACTTTGTTTTCCTCTCCTCTTACTTCTTTCTTTCTTTCTTTCTTTCGCCTATTGGATCCATTTTTTCTTTCGTTTTCTAACGTATTGGAACCATATTTTTTTTTCCTTTTTCTTTAACCTATTGGAACCATTTGTTTTTCTTTCCCTCATCTTTAACCTATTGAAATCATCATTCTTTCTTTATCCTATTGAAACCATTTTTCTTTTCTTTGTATTTCTTTCTTTCTTAGACTTATAGAATCCCTTTTCTTTCTTTTTTCTTTCTTTTTTTCTTTCTTACTTTCTTTCTTTCTTTCAACTATTGTTATCATTTGTTTTTTCTTTCTTTGCTTTTTTTATATAACACTTGGGTCTTTTGCTTTCTTTAACCTTTCTTTTCACGTAATATTTTTCCTCCTTTTCTGCGGATGAAACATTTACCCCCCCCCTTTATTTATTCTTGACAATTTTATTTCACCCATTTTCAAATACGAGAGCAAGTTTTCGAAGGCGACCATTAACGAGTGTGCCGAGAGGTGTATGTCCCTATATATTTTCGTCAGGAGTCACACAAGATGTGCGTTGGTCTAGGAAACGTAATGTACGCACGGAAGGATCCATACGCTCTAATAAGCAGAAAACTATTGTCAAACCTTTAAGACGTACGCCACAGGCACTCACCTACACAAAAAGCTTGCTGCTCAAGTATGCTCAACATGATCGTCTCGCAAACAGAATCGTAATTGCTGGGAATTCAATCGTTAATGCATGCCCTACCCGTGTATTATTGTAGAAAAAGAAGTGATATTAGTAAATAAATAAATATATATATATATATATATATATATATATATATATATATATATATATATATATATATATAGTACGGGGAGTCTTCCCTTATCTACATGGGATATGTTGCAAGATAAAAGTATGTCTGATAAAACTGAATTCTTGTATATATAATTCCAATGCATAGATGCTTATGATAATGGATAAATTAATTCCGAACAATGATTAACTAAAGAAACAACAACAACAACAATAATAATAATAATAATAATAATAATATATATATATATATATTAATAGTAGTACACTTTTAGAAAACCTCGGCTAGCTCATCTTGCAGATATGTCAGGACAAATCGGTGTCCGAGGAAAAAATTGAAAATAAAAAAGAAAGAACTAGAAACATCAGAACAAGACGAAACCAATCCCCAAGTGCTTTATGTCCTTAGTCCAAATAAATAAATAAAAAAAAAAAAAAAAAAAAAAACGAGTAGAAAGACTAAAACGTAGAGTGCTCAATACGCTAAGTAGAGCGATAAACTAGAATAAATCCTAAGGAGCCAGGCAAACCTACCTAGTTTTCACCTAAACGGATCTTCAGGGTAAACTGGCATATATATATATATATATATATATATATATATATATATATATATATATATATATATATATACAGTCATCTTCTGGTGTAGGATTTAATTGTGTTTTCGTAGGAATGATATCATCTTACACAGAAGAAAGAAGAATGTTTATTTCTTTGGTCTGCTGTTACGATCTTCTGCAACATTCGTATATTTTAAAACTCATTGGTTTCTTTCGTTTGTGATAAATCATCATTTCTCTAAATTACTATATTTAATAAAAGACACTGAAAATGCCGTTGGTTAAGAACTTCCTTGACAGACGACAAACATATCAACGATAATTGGCTTAGAAAATTTCCCACAATTTCAATCTCGTTGTAAAGATTATTCGATTAGGCTAAGCAAGTCTGTGTATCACAGAAAAGCGGTGTGGCTTTAAAATTGATATTAAATTAAACAAATCTAGATTCTAGAATCCTTTACTGTTTTTAGGATACCTTGTACTTAAGCCATCGTAGAAACGATTTGTGAAAAAAAATAAATCTGTAGCTTTTAGGCAATGTGTGTAATGCCAATCTTCTGAAAAGTAGCGACTTAAAATTTGATGTTTGAAAATTGGCGTTTTTATACTTGAATTCGCATATCGACTGCAAACCTGCAAAATAAGCACATCTCCCTGAAGTGAAATTTTTAAAATATAGGAAAAGGAAAATGCTTTAGAAAAAAAAATCCAGTTTATCATAAAAATGACACAGGTTTAAAAACGAAAGTATAATTTTCTGATCAATATCAGTCGGACGTTCATAGTTGAGGAGACGATATGAGAAGCTGTTTTGAAGAAATGCAGTTAAGCAGTTATTCTAAAGTATAAGTAAATATATATAATTCTTATAGGTTTCATTGAGTAAATTACGAAGGATTTGAGAACCTGCGTTGGAATATGAGAGTCTATGATTTGATATTTCTGCCATTTACTGTCATTTATTCATAAGAAAAAATAGAACCGACGTCTCAGTCAGCCATATTGGATGACAAGCCAGGAAGAACTATCCAACTGTTGTCGTTTTTTTACTGGGTAAATGTCTTCTAGAGAGATCTCCTTGTGAAATTGCGGATACTTATCGAGTCTCGCAGAACATTACTACTGCAGCAGGTTTCAGCCTCGAGACTATGCCACAAACACGGTTTAGCACTATGTAGATATATATCACGGCCCTTGTAAAAATTTCGTCGAAAATCGCCAAGTAATTCGTTTCTTAACGGTCTTAAATAACCTCTAAAAGCAGGTTAATTAAAGCCAGAAAAATATTTTTGTAAGAATTATTTTATTTTGGACATAATATAAAATAAATGATTTACTGATAGAAGTTTTACTAATTAACCCATAGCTGGGGGATAAAAGGTGGTATCGCCTAGTGAGACTCTTTTTTGCTGCTTATCAAGCAATTGCAGGTTATCCAAAGCCAGAAAATATATTTTTTTGTAAGAAATTCATTTTGAAATAATAATGATTTAGAGATACAAATCTTTCTAATTAACCTATAACTTGGTGGGGGTGGGGAGAAAATGCAGGTCCATACTTTTCCCAAGGAAATTTTGCTCATAAATATAACGGACCCAAACGGCTATCCGATTAACAATTCCGAAACAGGCTAACAGCACTTGGTATCCCAAAGTACTTACCATTCTAGGTACTGACCACGTTCGACGCTGCTTAACTGTGGCCAGACTAGATGTGACAGCAATGTTCGATACACGGATAAATAGGATACGTTCATGATAGATACTGGTGAGAAACGTCAAAGTGAACCGATGTTGCTAGCAGCCGACTTCGCAATTGATTCTATATCATCCTTAGACTTATGGCGATGGAAAACGTCAGACCAATAAGGGGCAGCGAGTCGCTCTTCTGATGGTTAGAACCACCTATGCTGATGGAAGACAAGAAATTATCTTTAAGGTAATTAATACAGAGCGCTCTCATTTTAGTGGCGTTAAAATTAACAGGCCATTTATTGTGTGGAATCTTCCACATTTGCCAGTTATACCTCGTTGGAAAATGCACTCTTCCTCTTTGGTAATCATCACCACATTACATAAACAAAGTACATAGACAAGCATTCATTGGTTAATCACCTTCAATCTAGCTTGCTGATTGGTCAGTTTCGACGAATCAAATCATCCCCCAACGGGACAGATCTATTTTGGCGCCAACTCAGTCTGAGCCTGTCACGTGGTACAACAAAATTATAAAAACAAAACACGTGTAAACTCTCTCTCGCGTCTCATTCCTTGCTGCCAGGATGTAATCTTCAAGAACTCCCGTCTAAACTAATGCAGTCAGACGTTAAAGACCATTACCAACATTCACGCAAGTACGAACTCTGAAATCTCTTCTGAACTTTTACCAACTTGTACAATACGCAATTCCAAACATGCTAAAGGAAGTTTATTCTTCTAAACTACAGTTTAATAATTACTTTCACTTTATGAGCTCAAATACAAATATTTCCAAATCTAAGAGGCATAACTCTATCACACCTTCAGCTCTTATGCTTGTACACCAAACACTAATAAATTCAACTGGTATGTTTTGAAATCATTCCGTTCAGTTTTGTATTCTATACTATGTGTTATTTACGTCAAATATAAATTGCATTGCGTCCACGCATTGTCCTTGATCCCACCTTTCCTAGCCAAGGTTAAATATTGGTAACACTGTTGCTATAATTGCCCCCAGTTAACTGAAGGTCATTTTCGAGATCTGCTGCCAATTTGATTTTATCGAAACTATCGATTAAGACAAGGATTAAATCGGGAAAAGATATCGAATCGCGAGCAGATGACATCACGTAAGTCGATGATGAAAATAAAGAACAAAGAAAAAAATTAGGAAAATTATGTCTAAGGATAGAGCCCGAGGGGACACCCGCATTAATGTTTGTTTAACGGCATATCAATTCTTTATGAGTCACTTAATGCGGAAATTTCATGGGAGCGTTGAAGTAATAAAAATATGATATATATTATTCTACTTCCACAGTTGAATATATGGTAGATAATACTCACCTTTTGTACATATATATGTTTGTGTGTACAAAAAAAAAAAAAACCAAAAAAAAAGATTTTAAAAATTAAACAAATAAAATACCATAAATTTCAATTGGATTATAAAAGCTAGCATCATGCCAATAATAATTAGTGCAGTTCAGGGCGTGCCAAGATCCAGGGTATGTTATAAGATAAGTCAGAAACTAGAGAACATTTTAAGACTTCCTGACACTGTTGAGTTTATGTGAACCGATAAATATATATATATATATATATATATATATATATATATATATATATATATATATGAAGAAAACACGGATATCTAAGGAGACACACTGTCAATCAAACTCCAAAAATAACCACTTGACTTCTGGTGGAAACATGCAAATACATGAATTATTACTACTACTAATAATATCAACGTTGATAATTTTAGCAGGCATAATGGAAATTAATGATTTAATTGAACTGACTGGATTAATTGTTGAAATGTGACGTGATCACGTGACTCGCCGAGAAAATGCCGGTCTTGGTTGGCGGAGTAATCGACGAATGATGTTTGAACCGCACAAAAGAGGGCGCATCATCACGAGTTAATCTAATTAGCTTCCACCTAATTAAGACGCGGGTTTGATGATTCGATGGAGAAATATTAGATTTTTTTAAATTCTTTTTCTGTTTATTTGAATACACTGAACAAATAAAAGAAAAATCGTACTTTGTCGTTTTTGGAGGCTTTTCGATCAGTTCAGTGACTATGTTTTTTAAACGTTCTGAAACAGGAAACACATATAGAACACATATAGAATATATATATATATATATATATATATATATATATATATATATATACATTTGTGCGTATGTATGCACAAAAAATGCACACACACATACATATATATAATGTACGGTATATATTATATATAAAGTGGATATACATTAATATATACATATTCTATATATATATATATATATATATATATATATATATTAAGAAATGGAC